GACTCATGTCAAAGAAATGTCCTCAGTTGGACAAAAGTAATAGAAATCACTATTCTAAATTTGCCAGAACCTTTAAATTTTATCTTGTCTCCCTCGTATTTGTTCTAACTGACTTTTATTAATGGTTGTATGATTTGTACTGCTTACAAGATCATTTGGAAGGGGGTAACTGTCCCAATTTTATGGGCTATCATATTTAACAAATAAATTCTTAACTCAAAGGAGAAACCAGAAAAGAGAAAGTGTTGATAAATGATCATGATAAATTATAAGAAAATAATAGATGAAATAGCATTTTACCAATTTTGACTGCTGTTTTTTCCTTTTCATCTTTCTCATGCCAGGGATTGATCTGGGTCTCCCGCAGGCAAAATCTTGTGCTCTAACTGTTAGAGTTATCTCCCCAGCCCTTGAATCTAATCTCTAGCCAAATGAATTAACTAGAAGAAAATTAATTAGTAGATTAAAAAGTGACTGTTTTGTTAGGGATGATATTATTTAATATTAGAGTAACTTTAATTTTAAAGTATTTTCTCATTAGAAATTTAATCTAAATCATTAGAAATTTAATGTGTATGTTATCTATTGTGATTTTATTAGAGGTAATAATATTTGATTTAGTTTGGTCAGGACTGATGAACTCCATCTAAGGTAATAAAGAATAAATTTAATATCCACTCCCGCTTTTGTTGAACTTACGGTATATTTTCACTTGGTTACAGTTTTCTGTAATGTATTTATAGGGACAATTTTAAATAATCTCTCTTGTTTGAAGTAATTTTCATGAAACAGTTTATATTGTTTTCCATAGACTGTGAAAGCATCAAGATTTTTATTTTCTTATATTTGACCTTCCTTTGAAGAAAGACATTTAAAAAAAAATAGCCACAGACTGCATTTATGTTCCAAGTGAAATTGCAGTTATTAAGTTTAATTGCATTGCTCTCATCTCTCAGGTTTGCCAGACAAGAGAATACTGAATAGTGAAATTTACAGAATACACATTATATTCCATATTTTGCATGAATGTTTTCCTTGTAATCTCATAATTCCTCTATGCTATCACATTTTTAAATTGATGAGAAAATTGACTTGGGATAAATACTGAGTTGAATTGTGTAAATAATAGATTTGGGAGTTTTTTTGGTCTATTTCTTCAGATCCCCTGGCACTTGCTTTTGAAGAAATTAAGGTCATTTGGGTTGAAAGAACTTTAAACTTTAATCTATGATGTTAAAGTGAGGTCAGAGATCAGCTTGGATAGTTTACTGTGACATAGGTGGAAAAGCTTAAAATTCTCAAAAGGGGGAAAAAAATGGTGTGTTTGTTGCAGAGACATGTACTTTTAGGTTGTTAGTATATCTGGATGTTCTATTATAGTCTTTGTACTGCGTTTTTAGTTTTTTAGTAACTATTTCCAACTCATCACCTCTCATTAGTTAAAATGCAGTCTTTAAAAGTAATTTCAGTTTTGTCATTACCCCACCCACTCCATTATTATTTGGTTTCTAGGAAGTAGGTCTGTTGTCTTTTTTTTTCTTTACTGTAATCATTATGCATTTGGTGGTAGTAGGTACTTTCTTCTGTGTGTGAGTGTTGGATTTTGTTTGTTTGTTTAAACAAAATGACATTTTATCCAAAGCATTCCACTTTTCTATTACAGAAAATTTTAAGTTTAGAGGAAATTTTGCCTTAGAGAGAAAAGCTATTCTATTTGGCTCAAAGGACTGAAATCCTTCCATTTGCAGCAGCACGAATGGATCTAAAGGGTATTATATTAGTGGAATAAGTCAGATGGAGGAATACAAAAACTGTATGATTTTTACTGATGATGTGTTGTATAGAGAAAACAAACAGACAAACTCCAAATGAAACAAATAAGACCGTGAGACCAATTTTTGAGATTACCAGAAAGGCAAAAGGAAGGAGAGTAAATAAATCAATGACAAAGGGTTCCATGCATTGTGAAGAAAGAGTTACACTTCTATGACGAATTTAATTTAGAATATGCATGTGTTGATTTTCAATGATGTACATTTGAAACAATGTTATGTTATATACCAGGTAGTACTTTTGTTTTAAAGACCTTAAGTATATAATTAGTGAAGTATTTAATGAATATTGCTCCAGATAAATATTTCTACATGCATCTTTCCACTTCCATCCTTTTTAAAATGGCCAGTAAATATTTTAGCATTTTATAAGTTTTTTGGAAGCTTTGTAGTAAATAAAACTTTACTCATCCCAGTTGAACCACCTCATACCCGACTTAATGTAGCCTCAGAGGTGCTGAGGGAAAAGACAGTTAAAGAGAGCCAACCTGGGGCTGGAGCAATAGCACAGCAGGTAGGGCGTTTGCCTTGTACACAGCCGACCTAGGTTAGATTCAGCATCCCATATCATCCCCCGAGCACCGCCAGGAGTAATTCCTGAGTGCATGAACCAGGAGTAACTCCTGTGCATCACCGGGTGTGACCCAAAAAGCAATCAATAAATAAATAAATAAAAATAAAGAGAGCCAACCTGAGTTTTATTTGCAGTGTCACAGCTGCGTGTCCTTGTGTTGAACTAACAATTTAGTTATCTGAAAACTGCCGCTTGGGACTGGAGCCATCCCCACTAAATAAATTAGTAAATAAAATGCAGCCTCTGAATCTTTCACCAGTGTATCCTTGAAATACACTTTAGAAAATGGCATGGCGGGGGGGAGAGATAGTACAGTGAGTTAAGGCACTTCCCTTGCACATGGCCAACCTGGATTCTATCCCCAGCACCTCATATAGTCCCCAAGTACTGCCAGAAGTGATTCCTAAGTGCAGAGCCAGGAATAACTCCTGAGCACTGCCCAGTTTGGTCCAAAAAACAAAAACGAAAAAAAAGGGAAAGAAAATGGCATGGACACCACTTATAATATTGTTTTCTAGGTAGGAAATATTTCCAGTATAACTTTCAGAAATGTATTATTTCATATGCTTTTATTTATTCAAAAAGTACTTAGAATTTAAGGTGGAATACAGATGGAACCGTACCATTTTAAAAAATCAATATAGTGTTAAACTGAACTGGAAAAAAGTGTATTTTCTTGATTGTATGTTTTTATATAAATTGAGTTGGGAAGGATAGAAATAAATTATTGTTTAGTAATGTTCTTTCATTCCAGATAGCCTTAAAGGTTTTCTATAAAAATAAATGAAAATTTTGTATTTGCTTTATTAAGAAAAATAGATTGATTTATAATTTTGATATTGAAATCAATTAACTCTGCCATACCTCTTTAGCAGATTGCCAGCTAGGAGGAATTTATGATCTCTCTTTAGTGATGTCAAAAGAAATAGGCAGTTTGTCAGATACAATTTTACAGACTTGTTTATTTTGCTTTTGAGCCACATCCACCAATGCTTATGGGTCACTCCTAGCTCTGATCTCAGAGATTAGTCCTGGCGGTGCTCGGGGAACCTGGGCCAGCCACATGCAAGGCTAGTGCCCTAGTTACTGTACTGTTCCTCCACCCGCCAAACAAACTTTCTATATAGTTGATTAATTCATTCCATTAGCACTTTTTATTTTTGGAGTCACACCCCACAGTGCTCCTGGCTTTGCACTCAGGGATTATTCCTGGCAATGCTTGGGGAACCATTTGGGTGCTAGCATGTGAACTAGGATCATCTGCATGTAAGCCACATGCCTTGCTCCCTGGACTATCTTGCTAGACCCCATCCTGTTAGTTCTATATGTAGGTTTTTAGAGCATGTCATTTGGAGAAACTAACGCAGTTAGGACTTGGAAGAACACAGTGGAAAACTTAAAATCCCCAAGATAATAGGACCATGGATTCCCAGTAAGAATTAGTGATATATTTTCATTCATACTTTTTAATTAGAAAATTATTCTGTCATCAAACTGGATTAAATTTCTTCCTTGTTTGGGGACTACAAAAAAAAACTCAGTGCTGAATTACTGAGATTCAAGGTTGAACCTTGAGGTTGTTTTTTAAGTTTCCTTGATATTTCATTCATTAATCTATGCTCCTCTAGCACCAGATGTACTTGCCAAGCTTCTAGAATTTACTGGCCCATGCCATTGCTTTATGCTTTTGCTCTTGGTTCTAATATTTTATTAATCACAAATTTGTCAGACTTAAAAACAACTCTATTCTAGCCTAATATAAAACTTATATCAATCAAAAGAACAAGGCTGTAATCTTAGAACAACCTTTAAGTCAGTGCTACAACCTTAAAGAACAGTACTACAAATTTTCTCTGAAGTTATTTTAGTTGTGTGGGCCATTCAGTCTCTGGATCTGCTCAATTCTAAAGTTGTATTATAAAAGTAGCCACAATCCACTAGTTATTGTGGTTGTGTTCTTGTAAGCCTCCTTTCATGATCTCTCTGTTTTGATTTTTTTTTTTTTAATTCAGTCGTTTAAAGTATTGGATAATTATCAGGATGAGTAGTCCCTCTTAGTAGGGATTGTATGTTTAGGTTTTATTCTGATTATCCCCTCTCATCCACTTCAATATTTACAGATTGTTTATGTATAGATAGTAGAAGACTAATAAGAAAAAATTGGTGGTTTTTTTGTCTCCCCTTCCTGTCTAGTTAAGAATTTTAAAGACTAATTACTCTCAGATTTTTCATCGTCCTTAAGGCAATTTCTGAATATGTGAATTTCAGGTAATTTGTACAAGAACTTTTGTACTTTGAATTTTACAAGCTTAAACCATAGGAAGTTTATTTTCTAAATAAACTGCAAGCTTTTGTTCAGTGACAGTATCTTAGTCAATGAGATTTATTGGAAGTACAATCATTGCTAGTTGAAAACTCAGTAAATTGTATATAAGGAGTTACACATTTACATACCATGAACACTATCAACTTCTTTTACTCAAAAATAATTTTTTAAAAAAATGATTTTCATTCTGACTGTAGTAATTAATAATGTGGTTGCAATTTGTGTGTTAAAACTGTAATTTAAAATTCAGTTAACTTACTTTCTATAGACACCGGAGAAGAAGCAGTCGGAATCATCCAGGGGAAGAAAGAGAAAAGCAGAAAACCAGAATGAAAGTAGTCAGGGTAAGCAAACAAAATCTTCCTTCAAAGCAAATAGGCATTTAATAACTAAGTATTCTTATTTTCAATCAATACCTTAATTATAAATAAATAAATTTTGTGTGATTTCTATAGCTATAGTATATTGTCTTAAACCACAGGTAGTATGTTTAATTACTATTAAGTTTTTAACATTTCTCCTGTTTTTAAATTTGAGAACTAGTAAGATAAGAATCAGGTCCAAACTTGGCAAACATTGTCTTAATCTTTTATGTTTCTCTCTTTATATGAATGTAGTATTCAAAAGATTTCTTATTTGGGGATAAAAACTGGTTTTAAAACATGTACCCCTGGAACCAAAGGGATTATACAGTGGGTAAGGCATTTGCCTTGTATGCAGGTAAGCCTGATTATGACCCTGGCACCACATATGCTCCTCTGAGCAGTACCAGGAATGATCCCTGAGCACCACTGATTCTGGGCCAAACTTCCCCTCCTCAAGGAAAAGAATAGACAGGTACCCAAACTTACTCAGGTCTCTCTTTAAAAAATATTCCCTATATAAAAATGGTCATCTTTTATTAAAACCGTTTTTTTTTTCACATCTGTTCATTTTCTCTTACACTCTTGTATTTATGATAGGAACTAAAAAAAATTCTCTAGACTACAAAATTTGTTAAGGCGAACAGTTTAATAGTATTGCTATTTCATTTGGCCAGCCAATTAAAAAAACTCTTAAATCACTTTTTTTTTAAATACATTACATGCTTAGAGCCCATCTTATAGCCTATTTTCATCCTTGCAACACCTGTGGTTTGGTATCAGCCCCTAACGCAGCAGATAGCTACAGCTGTTTTCAGCCTTTTAATACCTTCAGCAGTTAAAAACTGCTGGTCAAGGTACATGAGCCCATGGGCTTGGTAACATTTATATATGTGTATGTATACACATATATATCTCACTAGCATTAAGGAATATATTTACTATAGCCATCTTTGTTCAGAAGGAGTGCTCACTCTAGTGCTTTTTCTTTCTTTTTTTTGGGGGGGGGTTGGTGTAGTGTGTTTGCGGGGTAAGAGCAATGGGCCACTTCCAGTGATGATCAGGGGTTACTACTGGCTCTGCATTCACAAATTATCCTTGTGGGGCTCAGGGGACCATATGGGATGCCAGGGATCAATCTCAGGTCAGCCGCGTACAGGGCAAGTGCGCTTCCCACTGCTCCCTCTCTAGCCCCTCATACTAGCCCTTTTATTCTACCTGTGTAGCACTTTGTTTCTCGGTCTATTCTGACCTCCTTTTTGGTTCTTGGTACTTCATTAAGAGTGGCTAATGGACTTGAAATTTCATTTAGTATAAAGATGTATTAGTGATGGTAGTTTCAGCTGTAAAATACAAACTGAAATACCACCTCATTTAAAAGCAAGTTCCAAATGTAACTTTCCAAATGTAGCTTCAGGATTAGATGACTCAGCTTAAATCTCAATGAACCCGTAGTTTTGGTACTGAGAGATAGAGCAAAGATTAGGGTGCATGTAAGACTCAAGTTCGATCCCCATTACTACCTATGCCTCCCTCGCATAGATGGGTACATACCTGGCAGCCCCTGAGCACCACAGCTGGGGCTTTGGTGGTCTCCAGTGCCAAGTACCACTACATCCTCAGGCTTGATCAATAAGTTCCTGGCCCAGTTGACTGAAAATTACCAGGAGTGGTCCCTGGGCCCTCTTTGCACTACTTTAGAGACCCTTACACCCCTCATCCTCAAATTTAAAAAAAGAGCCCACATTTTTTTCTTGGTTGTATGCCATCTACAAAATTGGCTAGTTTTCTTATAGATTATGGGATGATTGCCTCCTTTTAAATAAATTTACTTTCCTCAATTGTAATTCCTTACTGCTTTCCTCACTTGTATTTACTTTTGAGAGTCTGACTTTCTGTGTTTCTTTTTCTCCTCTCTTAAACATCTTAGACTTCTTCACTATCATCTTACTGACTAGAATTGGGTCATGTGTCCATTTCAAAACTTCTTAAACTCAACAAAGATATATATTGCCATTACAAAAGTCAGGCCCATTCCTGAAACTGAAAATGAGTCGTTATCCTTAGAGGCTATGTGGAGAGCCAGATAATACCTGAAGAAAAAGGATTTCTAAGAAAAAGGAGGGAAGAAAGGAAACTAAAAATGGATACCATAATAGTTAGCTTACCCTGAAGTTACGTATGCTTTGTAAGGTAGAAGATGATAATTGAACAAATTTGGGTTCAGTTGGAGAAAGACCTTTTGACTAGGAAACAAAAATCTCCATTAAAAAAAGAAATTGCACCTCTTTAAAATCTGTAGAAAAGGTGTTTTAGGCAAAAGGCAGTTTCTTGATAGGAACCTTTACAGTCCTTGCTTGAATTGTACAAAACAATTGTTCTAAATTTCTTCATATCATTTATAAGTTCTGAGTACCTGCTATTAAAAATTTCTCTATATTGTTCCAAGAAGAAATTTAAGGTGTTGAATTTGTGAATGTATATTATTTAGTAATAACTGGCATGTATATACGTGCAACTGCTTGAGCAGTTATCCATTGAATAAAGTAAGTGGATAAGTGTAAGTCAGTATTGAATTCCTGGTATTCTTAGTTTATCTTTTGCAGTTGGAAGAAATCATGTTTCATAGTAGTTCTAGTCCACATAAGGATTTCCAAATTTTAAATATATATGCATATATATATATATACATACATATATCAAGCAAGTTCTTAATTAGTGCTTATGAGACTTGTGAAGAGTTTTATATTAGAGAACAGCTTTTCATTAAGGAGTTGTGTTCCGTAATGATTTGGAGTACTTCATCAATGTTTTAATATAAAAAATATTTGATATGTAGGTTGCCTGAAACTTATATTATTGTAAACCACTAGTATCTGAATTAAAATAATTAAGGTTGTTTATTTAAAAACCTATTACTTTGGAAACACTAATTCTTAGACTGTTACTATAAGTAGCATTTAAATTAATGCATGTTATGGGTCTGTGTTAAACCAGTGTTTGTATCTTTTTATTTGGGATGGTTTTTTCCCACGAGGCACTCAGGAGGTCCAAGGGCCCAGTGTTGAGTCTCAGCCAATTGGGCCTGCATCTGAGATCGCTGAAGCCCAGCTCTATGGTGCCAGCAATATCCAAGTCACCGAAGTAGTACTGGGGACCTACAGGGTTGCATCCTGTAATGCTAGGGCAACATGTGGTGCTAGGAATCAAGCTGAATCAGGCATATGCATGTGCCCTTAACACTTCATTTAATCTCCCTCCCCAAACCAGTGTTTTTATTTTATTGCTAAGTTATGAATATATTTGTCAGTGATGTAGCTGCTACCTTTTTTTTAATATATTGATTCACTTTTATGAATTTAATAGATGTTAAACTGAATGTTTTAAAAATGCTTTAGTGTCATTTATTTGATTTTCTGTAATTGGGGCTTTAAAACATCTACTTTCTTAGTGAATTGTATCATTTGATTTTTGGATTTCTGGAATTGTTATCAGACTCTTTGAGGACTCAATATTCTTTCACTGTTTATCACTACCCATCTGAAGTACCATATTTTTCTTAAATGTGTGACTTTCATGTGTCTTAAGGAAATTTAGTTAGCACTAAATTTTTTATTCTGATAATGATGATGACTGGCTTTATAAAACTTTTTACTCTTATATTTTAGGAAAAAGTATTGGGGGACGTGGCCACAAAATTAGCGACTATTTTGAAGTAAGTTCATTGAGGAATATCTCCAGTTCTTGGTACAAACTCTGCTTATATACTGAAAAAAATTCTTTAATGCACAGTGTCATTTGAGGAATAGGTGATCTTGGGCCATGCCTGGCAGTGCTCAAGGTTTATTGCTGGCTCTGTACTCCGGAATTAATTTTGTCAGTGCTCAGGGTACTATTGGCAATGCTGGAATAGAACCAGGGTTGGCTGTATGCAGGGTAACCACATTAACCTCTGTACTGTTTCTCTGTCCTCAAAATCATCTTTTGATTATCTACTCTGGTTAGAGCCGTGCTTCAGTACTGTGTAATGCCCTGTCTTTCTGGGAATATTAAATTTTTCTTTACATTAACAGGGCAGGGCCAGAGACATGTAATTGGCTGAGTGCATGTCTTTGCATCTGAGAGTCTAGGGTTAGATCCCTGGCACTTCATGGTTCCTTCAGTACCTCTGAGAGTAGTGACTCCCATGCACTCCCAAGTGGTCCCCAAAAACCAAACCAATACATTGGCGGGGCACATAATTTCCAAGTACTTTTTGTGTATTTGCTTTTAACCACCCAGGAGATAGGTAAGGCAAGTATTAGTATCCCTGTTTTACATAGAGTAAACTGAGGAGCAGAGATACAAAATAATGGTACCTAAGGGAAAATTCTAAAAGAAAGAACAAATAGTAGAACTTACAGCCTAACAGCCTCTAGTTCCAAATTCTTTCTACTATCATTGTAGGCTTTATTGCACTCAGCAACATTTGAGCCCCATGGATAGAGACTGAATGGTAGAGGTATGATTTTAAAAGCCCCTGAAAATAATAAGCAGTGGTAAAATTAGATTTTTACATAGTTTGTAATATTTCAAAACAAAACACCTTTGGTGCCAGATTTGTATTATAAAACAATACAACTATTAGAATCTTCTTAGGTGAAAATAATATTGAGAGTAAGAGTAGAATTTGTTAATTAGAGGAAAGGCTACATTTAAAAAATACTTTTGGGGGGCTGGGAAGATAGTACCTTGGGTAGGATATTTTCCTTGCACGTGGCCAACCTGAATTCAATCCCCAGCATCCCATATGGTCTCCAGAGCATCACAAGGAATAATTCCTGGGCACAAAGCCAAGAGTAACCCCTGAGCATCACTGGGTGTGTCCTCCCCAAAAAATGAATAATAAATAAACAAATGAAATAAAAATAAAGTAATAAAAATTCTTTATTCTTCATTATTTTCCTTTATTCTCCATTATTTTTTGAGGAGCCAAGGGACTTCCTTCCTTTTCATACTTTTTTAAAAAAATTAAACAACCTGTTGTTGACCACATGATACCTCTGGGTTCCTGAATTTCCTGTTCCTGAGTCATTGAGAATCTCACCAATAATAGCACCAGTTTAAATAAATAGCTCTTGAATGCCCACTGCTTTCAGGGCATTGTATACTAAGTACTAGAGATTGAAATAGTTTTCCAGGATTGGAGAGAGAATAAAGTGGGCCTCATATGCATCTAACCTGGGTTCAATCCCTGGCACCATATACGGTCCCCCAAGACCACTAGGAGTGATATCTGAACAGTTAGCGTGCCCCTCCCCCCAGTGCATCCTGCTTTGGGGGCCAGAGATACAGTGGGTAGAGCACTTGCCTTGGACACAGCAGACCCAGGTTTGATCCCTGGCACCCCATAGGTCCCTTAAGCCCACCAGGAGTGATTTCTGAGCACAGAGCCAAGAGTAAGCCCTGGGCACCACCAAGTATGGCCCAAAAACAGAACAGAAAATAATAATTTACCAGTATCTTCATGTGAACATGTTAATTTTTTTTGACTTTTGACTGTAACAATTTATTTTGATTTTCAATGACCTAGTTTTAATTTAGAATAAGATATATTCTTAATGCCATCTTTGATATAATATCTCTAAACTTATTTTTATAAATAGAAGTATTTCCTTTTTGTTCTTAGTACCAAGGTGGGAATGGCTCAAGTCCAGTAAGAGGCATACCTCCTGCAATCCGTTCTCCTCAAAATTCACATTCACATTCCACTCCTTCCTCATCTGTAAGTTTTTCATTTGTAGTCTTATATACAGGAGTTCTGGTTTATATGGAATAACTTTCATGTTGTGTTTTTATTGATAAATGTATGTGTGTAAATGTTTATTTTTGTAAAAAACCATTCTAGACTGGGGATATGGGTCTGTTATAGAGTATATGCTTTGCATGGGTGAGACCCTGGGTTCAAATTTCTGGCACTGAAAAGATATGTAATTTTTACTGATACTGTGAAATAAAATTTGATTTGATCTGATATACTATAGCTTCATTTGAAAAAGTAGTTGTTAAAATATTATTATAGGGTTATTCCTAGCAGTGTGCACTGCCATACTTTGCAGTCTTGGGGAACTTATAGTGCCAGGGATCCAACCCAAGACCTCATACATGCGAAGCATATATTTGTTCATTGAGTCTTCTGCAACCCGAAAAAATTCTTAAATTTAAGATTTTTTTTGAACTATTCATGTTCTGAAAATAATGTTTCTGTAAAGGAATCCTTTATAACCTATGAGATTAAAAAGGAATTTTCTGTATAGACTCATACTCATGTCTAATTTCTGTTTTCAGCTTTTTTTTTTTTTAAATAGAGGTTTCCCCAGCGGCACTAGGTACCATTCCCAATGATTTTAAAGTACATTTAAAAAATTTACTCAGTTATTGGGCCTGAGTGATAGCACAGCGGGTAGGGCATTTGCCTTGCACGCGGCCGACCGGAGTTCAATCCCCGGCATCCCATATGGTCCCCCAAGCACTGCCAGGAATAATTCCTGAGTGCAGAGCCAGGAATAACCCCTGTGAGCATCTCTGGGTGTGACCCAAAAAGCAAAAAAAAAAAAAAAATTACTCAGTTATCACTTACCAAGTTTTCTGTTTTTACTGTAGCATCCTAGTCCTTGTCAACAGATACACACTTAGTTGTGTCTTACTCATTTTGTTTGTTAGAACACATCATATGTAAAGTACAACTAACAATTTACTAACAAAATTAGTAACTCAACAGTAAGCAACTCAACAGTAACTAACTGTGTAGCACTGATACAGGCATATAATTGCTTCCCTCAGTGAATATGTTTTAAAACTGGCTAGGTGAACCATGACATTCACCAATAATTTAACAATATACTACGTAATGGTTAGACATTACTATTGTCCTGCCTGTAAACCGTGAGGCTGTTTTCAATATTTTGTTTGAAAATAATTTATTTTTCCTTTGCCCTGACATATTGAAAGCATTAAGTTTTTTTATAGACAAAATCACTTTTTGTTGAGGGTGTCAATATAAGAGAGGTACTCGATGATTTCTTGTTGAATAGTGATGATAAAGTTTTAATAATTTAATTATGTTTGGCTTAAGTTGTTACTCTGATAAAAATTCAAGAAACATTAAGTAGTTACTGCTAAGCTGAAGCCCTTACTAATGTAAATATTTTAATAATTTTTAAAGGTTCGACCGAATAGCCCTTCTCCTACTGCATTAGCTTTTGGGGACCACCCTATTTTACAACCAAAGCAGTTATCTTTTAAAATTACTCAGGTAAATAGTAATTGACATTTCTTTGCATGACTTCTGAGAAAGCTGTGAATAGTTTCGTACAAAGAGCTGCAGTGTCTTTGCTTTACACATCATCGTAAAATAAAATTATATATCAATAAAATTAATTGCCAGTTTTTAGGAGTTGAGCATTTTGAAATATCTACTTTTTCTTGTAGTTTGTCCTTTGTTACACATTATAGCTATTTAAACCAGATCAATAAACACAATAGCCATATCACGTTAATTACATTTATCAGTTCTTTTTGTATTTAGCGTCCATATACATATATTTTATATCTTCCTAAAGATGTTATGCTCATTATAAGTGGACATTAGAGCTGTTCTTTTGGGAGTCTTTCTATATTCATTATCTTTACACTCACAAAAAATCATTTGAAAACCAGATAACTTGTGATTAGTTTTATGAGTTTAGAATACTGATTTTCTCACTTTAATTTTTAACATGTTAAGGTGTATAGATAACTCTGTCCCCAGACTAAGAATTGGGAGACTAGATCTTTTGCTATACTACCTCAGTTACCTATTTCTGTTAAACACTATGTCACATCAGTTTCAGACTGTTAAAACAAAACATAAATGAAAACGTTAAATTTGGGGGTGATCTTTAGACTCTAATTACCAGTACTTTCAGTTACTGTACAGCTGATGGGAATTTTTTGCACATTCAAAAATTGGCTATAGTTGATAGTGTATAGCAATGGTTATGTTGAATTATAATAAAAGGCAACATATTAATATCCTAAAAAAATTAGTAACCCTCTAAATATTTCTATGTAAACTTGTTGTACTGGAACTTTGAAAGTTATTAAAAGTGTGCTTAGCTACACACAAAAATAATTTTTTTCCTCTTTAGAATCAGAATAAAATTTTATGTTTGCTTGCAATAATGGGGATAATAAAATAGCTTTCTTTTATTTAGACTGATCTCACAATGCTGAAATTAGCAGCATTAGAAAGTAATAAAAATCAGGATCTAGAAAAGAAGGAAGGTCGCATAGATGACTTGCTCAGGGTAAGTAATATGTCAAGGAGGTGGGGAAATGAGTAAATATTTTTTGTGAGATAATTTAGAAACTGCTGGTTAGAGAAACAAAAGGACTATAGCTAGGGTAAAAAATAAGCTTTTTTGATTGTATAAGGGCATGATTAAACATATAAACTTAAAAATAAAAATGAGGTGTAGGATGTGGTTTAAGTGATAGAGTTCTTAATTGTCCATGTTTAAGACCCTGAGCACCATCAAGTGTGGCCCTTGCAACAACTAGAAAAATTATATTAAAATGAGAATTATTTTATGAGAGCTCTTCAAATTGAGAAATAGTTGAAAATGTCGGAAGACGCTAGTATAAGTTATTTTTATTGGATCAGCTATGACAGGACATCCATTTTATGTTATTTTGAAAGTTAATTTTTTAGAAATACAACATTTGATCCTGTGAGATTTTTAGCTGAAAACTTTATTTAAAAGACACTGCAAGGGCTGGAGCAATAGCACAGCGGGTACAGCGTTTGCCTTGCACGCAGCCAACCCAGGTTCGATTCCCAGCATCCCATATGGTCCCCCGAGCACTGCCAGGAGAGATTCCTGAGTGCAGCGATAGCACAGCGGTAGGGCGTTCGCCTTACAAGCGGCCAACATTGCCGACCCGAGTTCGATTCCTCTGCCCCTCTCGGAGAGCCCGGCAAGCTACCGAGAATATTCAATATGCCAGACACAGTAACAACAAAGTCTCCAATGGAGACGTTACTGGGCCCGCTCGAGCAAATCAACGATCAACGGGAGGGCCTTTACCTTTACCTTTATGAACCAGGAATAACTCCTGTGAATCACCGGATGTGACCCAAAAAAAGCAAAAAAAAATAAAAATAAAAAAAAAAGACATTGCAAAATATCGAGAGTAAGGTATGAAACAGCTGTGGTTCTTATCATTTGCTGCTTGTTAAAATCACCAGAAAGTGAGAGATACTTTTTTTTTAGATAAGATTATATATATATATATATATATATATATAGACACTTTTTTTATTGAATCACAGTGAGATGGGGCTGGAGCGATAACACAGCGGGTAGGGCGTTTGCCTTGCACGCAGCCAACATGGCCGACCCAAGTTCGATTCCTCCGCCCCTCTCGGAGAGCCCGGCAATCTACCGAGAGTATTTGACATGCCAGACACAGTAACAACAAAGTCTCCAATGGAGACGTTACTGGGCCTGCTCGAGCAAATCGACGATCAACGGGAGGGCCTTTACCTTTACCTTTATGAACCAGGAATAACTCCTGCGAATCACCGGATGTGACCCAAAAAAAGCAAAAAAAAATAAAAATTAAAAAAAAAAGACATTGCAAAATATCGAGAGTAAGGTATGAAACAGCTGTGGTTCTTATCATTTGCTGCTTGTTAAAATCACCAGAAAGTGAGAGATACTTTTTTTTTAGATAAGATTATATATATATAGACACATTTTTTATTGAATCACAGTGAGATGGGGCTGGAGCGATAGCACAGCGGGTAGGGCGTTTGCCTTGCACGCAGCCAACATGGCCGACCCGAGTTCGATTCCTCCGCCCCTCTCGGAGAGCCCGGCAATCTACCGAGAGTATTTGACATGCCAGACACAGTAACAACAAAGTCTCCAATGGAGACGTTACTGGGCCCGCTGGAGCAAATCGATGATCAACGGGAGGGCCTTTACTTTACTTACTTTACACAGTGAGATAAATAGTTACAAAGTTTTTCATAATTGGGTTTCAGTCATACTGTATTCTAGAGAGATACTTTATAAACTCGAGGGTTCTGTTAAACTGATATGATTTAACACTTGGGCATTTAGTTATAAAAGTTTTTCCTTATAATTTTAATTTTAGTTAGCATCAAGGAATATTGATGTAGAAATACTGTAAAGTTAACACTTATAATCCAACACTATATATCTCTAATAGTAGCCAGGTACTTTTGCAGCTTCCAGTGTGTTCCCTGATCCTATCATACTCCTCCCATTCATTTACTGTTACTCTAAGTTTTCTATTTATCATTGCCTTTGTATACATGAAATTATTAGCTGTGTATATACATTCTTTGTTTTGGTTTTGGTATTTTGAAACACATCTGGGTGTGCTCATGGCTTACTCCTGGCAGTGCTCTTGGCGACCATATGTGATACCAGGGATGGATATAGGATTGGCTGTACACAAGACAAGCACCTTAAGCCCTATACTATCTCTCTAGCTATATACATTCTTAATAGCATTATCTCAGGTTTTTTTTAATTTTTAGGAAGCAAAATTACATTCCAGTTGCCCTTTCTGCTTTTCTTCATTAAACTTATGTGATTATAATGCAGGATGTATATTTCGCTCATAGTAAAGCATGGCTATACTATAAAATATCTTCCAATTTTGGCATTGTGTTAATGGTTCTGCTGAAAATATTCCTACGCATGTATTACAGGGTAAATATGGAACAGTTTCTTTATGGAATATGCTTTAAAGGCATAGCCAGATCATGTACATCTTCAGCTATACTTTATAATGCCTAATTTTTTAAAATTTATTTATTTATTGAATCACTGTGGGAAAAGTTACAAAGCTTTCAGGTTTAGGTCTCGGTCATGCAAATATCAAACACATTTCCCTTTACCAGTACTTATTTTTCACCACGAAGAACCCCAGTAAACCCCCACCACCCCAATCCTCCCAATGGCTGTGAGGCAGATGAATTCTAGTTAACATTCTATCTACTTTGAGTAGATTCATTGTTTCGATAAAAGATGCACCATAATTATTTAGAGTTTACATCCCCAAATCAGACATGCTGAAAAAGCATTGTGAAATGATTTGCTTTCTACAGCTGGGTTCAAGAATTAAATGATGTCGTGCGGCCGCTTGGTTTTGGGTTTCTGCTATTTTACTTATTAACTCTGGAAGTATTTCTGCTGAGAGTCAGATAAAGAGATTGGTTTCTGTACTTTGGAGCCGTGGTCGTGCAGGAGAGCCGCTCGAGGGGGGCAACTGGTGACCTCGGTAGGGCGTGAAGGACGAGCCGGAAACACCCCCCCACCCCCCAAGTCCCATGAGGTTTTAGTCGCCTCACCACCACCAGCTCATACCTGGCTTTCCACAAAGCTTCCAAGCGGCTGCCATCTTTCTTTCCAGAGGGAAGAAGGCGGAAGGGACCAACACCCTTTCCCCTCCGGGCAGACCTGGTGGCATGGATATGCATAATCCGTTCACTTTTCTGCTGCAAGCTACTGGGCTCTGCATATAATGCCTAATTTTTATTGTATTCGGGGGCCACACCCAGCTGCTCCTAAGGCTTTCTCCTGGGTGTGTGATCAAGGATCTCATGTGGCTTGGACCAGAGGGCATGCCCTTTGCAGTGCCAGGGATTGAACTTGAGGTCACTTGTATGCAAGGCAAGCACTTACCCAGTGCGCTCTGTCCCGCTAGCATATTTTGTTTTTTGATCACTATACACTTTATCAGCATTGACACCAGATTATTCTGTTTCTCATTATTCTTGCATAGACTTGTTACAGTTTTTTAAAAAGTATTTTTGGGTTTTGTTTTTAATTTATTTTGGCACCACAACTGGCATAGCTCAGGACTTACTCCTGGCTTTATGCTCAGAGATCACTCCTGATGAGTATAGGGGACATTATGGGGTGCTGGATGTCAAATCCAGGTAGGCCACATGCAATCCAAATGGCCCTACCCACTGTGCTATTACTCCAGCCCCATTGAGGATCACACTGTGTTCAGGGATCACTCCTGGCGGGGCTTAGGGTACCATATGATACTGGGACAAGATTAGGGTCAGCTGCATACAAAACAAGTGCCTTACCAGCAATATTATGTCTTGGCCCTATAATCAAATTTTATTTATTTTTTACTCCAGTTGATAGATGTAATTTACTTTTATTATGTATTTTTTGTTTGTGCATCATTCAGAATGTTTAATAGCCATTTTTTCTGTAAAAAGCTGATCATGATTTTTGCTCATTATTCGTTCTCAGTTGATTCCCTACCTCCTCCCCCTATCCACCACCCCCACCCCAACTTTGGGTTTTTGGACCACTCAAGGAGGTGTTCAGGGATTACTTCTGACTCTGTACCTACAGGTTACCCCTAAGAGTGTTGAGGGACCATGTATGCTTAGCATCAAACCCATGTCCTTTAAAGAAAAAAAACAAAACACCAGATTTGTTTTGTTTGGGGCCATACCCAGTGGTGCTTGGCCTTATACTGTGCTTTACACTCAAGGATCACTCCAGGCTGTGCACAGGATACTGTATTTGGTGCCAGGGATTAAACCTGGGTCAGCTGCATGCAAGGCCAGTGCCTTATCTGCTGTAATGTAACTCTACTCCTCACCCCTATTTAAAATAATATCCCCAAACATCAGATTCCTTGGAATCAATGTAATGAAAGGTGTGAAAATGTATACATTGACATTGAAAGTGGTTAAGTCACTATTGAAAGAATAGAAGAGGAAACCAGAATATGGAAAAATATTTTCTGTTCATGGACTGGAAGATTGAGCACTATCAAAACAACCATCCTACCTAATACATTATGTGCAATCAAATGCAATACTCATCAAAATTTCAACAACATTGAATTCATTGACGTTCTGGTAGAACTCTGTAAGTAGTGAGCCCATCTGGACCAACACTTCTGTTATTGGGATGTTTTTAATAACTGTTTCAGTTTCCTTGCGATTGGTCTGTTCAGGTTTTCTTCCTCCTGATTCCATGGGATGTTGTAATGACAACATCTTCAAGGTCTCCAGTTTAGTGGTTTAAAGTTGTTCATAGTAACCTCTTGTGATCTTTTGTAATTCTCAGGTGTTGTAATTTCTTTCTTTTTACCTGTGATCTTATTTGAGATTTCTCTTGTCCTTGTGAGTCTAGCTAAGGGTTTGTCAATTTTGTTTATTCTTTGAAAAACCATGTCCTGGTTTCATTGACCCTTTGCATTGTTTTATTTCTATATAATTTATTTCTTTTTTTTT